CAGACTTTCGACATCCGGAGACCTACCCTTTTATATGTTACTTGACCCAGACCAGTCCGCCCCAGATTCATCAGCACCATCTGCACCGGTTGTATGAGCTGGCCAGTCTAAGGAGTCAGACCTTACTGCCGACACTGCTAAGGCAGTGCGTGCGATGTTTACCACTCTCGCCACGCCTAGATTTGATGATGATGAGATGCAGTTGGTTGACTCAAAGGGAGATGATGTTAATGGGGACAGTGAGATGTCCAAGGATCCTTAGGGAGTTTTCTTCACCCTCTCCTTTCACTCTTATTTTGTTAACCATTAGGGACAATGCTTACTTTTATTCGGGGGGAGGGGGGAGGGAGGGGTAGAATTTATTTGATTTGACATTGACACATTTGGATACATTTGAACTATAATAATTGGATGATTATGTTCATTTTCTTATTTGTAGTTTATCTATCTTTAGTAGTTATTGTTTATTAGCTTCTTCATTTTTTCTACTTTAGTTCTTGTTTTGCTAGTAGCTTCTTTTTATGTTTTCGTAGATAATAAACCTTTAATTTTCTTAACGCCACGGTTCTTTCCAAAGGTAGTTTTTGTGTGAACCGGGTGACTCGTTCCAACGATAGATGGCGTGATAACCTTCTTAAGGGAATGAGCCCGTTTTGTGTTTAAGTAATAATAATGTAGTAATGAACAAAAGGCCTAATCAAGTCATTCTCGAAAAAGAGTTACTCATATTTCATTTGGTACCAACAGACTTAACTATGTGCTTATGGTTTGAAATAAGATTTTTGAAAGAAAATAGATCCAGTTAGTGACTTTGAGACTTTTGAGTTGACTTTGGTAATCATCGAGTGGTTTATTGGACCATAGTGATCTTTACACTTGAGTATGGTTGTTGTGGGCTCTCGATTCTATCCTCTTTTACGGTCTAGTTGCGTGAGGGGTGAGATGATTTTTTGCTAGTCAAAGAATCCGTGTGAATGGTCTAGAACTTACTCCGAATGTGCTTCAAGGCGAAATCCTAAGTTTTGTTTGGTTTGAGAAATGATTGTAGGCTTTTCTTGGCCCATTTGAGCTTTCTATTGCTAACCAATGTCGTTATACCTAGTCAAGCCCCTTTGAGCCTCTACCCTTTCTCATTTGATAATCATGTTATAAGCGTTTACCCATTTTGTCATGATCCTCTCTTAGCACCCGGATCTTTCTTAACACTCTTGTGAAATAAGTGGATTAAGGCATAAGTTTGGGGGGAGAGTTGAGGAATTTGAAAGAGGTATCAAGGCACCAAAAAGAGAAAAGAAATGATCTCTATGAAAACAAGAGGCAAGAAAAGGAAAAAAGAAAAAGAAAAATGCAAAAAAAAGAATAAGTGACAGGGTTGATGGGTTCAAAAAGAGGTAATGATCCCTAACATGAGCATCAAGGGAGAAAAAAAATGAAATAAGCAAGAAAGAGAGATGTCAAGTCTCTCTAGCTCCCAATAAAAAGAGATTGCCTCTAAGAATTGAAATTTGTGAGCCGAGAAATGAAAATGTGGAGTGCTTAAGGAATGAATGACTCACCATTGACTCGTTATAATGACCTTTTACTTTGAGGAGGTGGGAACTAATCTATTTGTTTGAGGACAAGCAAAGACTTAAGTTTGGGGGAGTTGATAAGTGTGGACTTTGATGATGCATGACTGCCTAATTGGCCGTAGCTCGATGGTAAATGATGATGCATGACTATCCAACCGGTCGTAGCTCGGTGATAAATGATTATGCATGACTGCCCAACCGGCCATCGCTCGGTGGTAAATAATGATGCATGACTTCCCAACCGGCCGTAGCTCAGTGGTAAATGATGATGCATGACTGCCCAACCGGCCGTAGCTCGGTGGTAAATGAAGATACATATAATACTACATTATGAACACATTAACATCTTTATTGAATGCCTCAATAGAGAGTTAGGAACATACTTAGGCATGCTTTGAATATCATTTTACAAGAATGTATAACGTAGACATTCTTAACTACTAAGAATAGAATCATTTATGAAATAACATTATGTTTACGTATCGTTACATGGATCATGCCAAAAGAAGGAATGATTAGCCTTAACATGCCTTTAGTGACGACTTTATCGAAGGCGACGAACTTGGCCTTTTTCACACGTAATCTCAATAAGTAAAAAAAAAATCAGATCCTTTAACTAGTTACACTGGTAGATAATTTCACTTGTTAAACAATAAGGAAGCCTTAGTTGTTGCCATTTTTGGTTCATTGCAACATATACTTTCTAAAGAAAAATTTGCTATTTAAAGAAGATTCTCACTTTCAAATTGTTTCCACTTCTTAGCATCTGTACTTTATTTTGTCTTAGTAGTAATGTAAAGTACATGTAGGTCCTACTTTCGACCTAATTTAATAACCCTTTGGAGTGGATGAGTCCTTTCTAAAGAAAAATTTGCTAGTCAAAGAAGATTCTCACTTTCAAATTCTTTCCACTTCTCAGCATTGTACGTTATTTTGTCTTAGTAGTAATGTAAAGTACATGTAGGTCCTACTTTCCACCTAATTTAATAACCCTTTGGAGTGAGTGAGTCATAGGATGTGATACTAATATACATACACATATATGACACCTTTACCAAGTATCTTTCCCTTATTCAAACCATGGATAAGAATGTCCATTTATTAGGTGGGACCTACTTAGAACAACAAATTAGATTTCCTATCCCCTTAATCCTTACTCATCCACTGTAAGTGCAAATAAATAACAAATCCATGTATGGTAATAAAATTGAAAATTAAAAGTCCTTATACCATACTTTCAAAATTATTTAATAATCAACTCATCACATTTATATTTAAAGAAAATCATAAGTTCTTTATAAATTTAAACTATACTAATATATCATAAACATTATGACATCTAGAAAATATATGTTATAAAATTATAATTTTTCCATCCAAATGTCAAGAGTATAAATTTTTGTACTATTAATTCTCAAAATGGGTAAAGATAACTTTTATTATGAGAAAATAATTTCTAGAAAGGATATAAACATAAGTTTTCTTATTAGGAAGAAATTTCTTTTCTTATAATACATAAAATATTATTTAAAACTTTCCTCATATAATGTGTTTAACTAAAACTTATCAAAAAATATTATACTAATAACTTTTGATAATCATATTTATCCAACATTTACAAAAGAATGTTTCTCTTAAAAGAAAGTACCATATCAAGGCAATATATAACGTTTTTGAAATTTAATAAACTTACGGGGTCTTACATCTATAACTTAATGTACGACCTTAATCTCTTCCAACTAACATGGTTTTACTACGATGCATCCAAACACTAAAGTACGAGGTGTTACACATATATCCTTAAATAAATTCTTTTAAAATTCAATTAAAAGAAGTAATTTGAAAGTTCACATATATCCCTAAATAAATTCTACTTTTAAAGAATTTACAATCTAATTATCTTTGTCTTAAGTCATGCATATAACTTTGTTCCTAAAATAGAAATTAAAAATTTAAATATTTAACGAAATCTATCATAAGTTGTAACCCTAGCATAATCTTAATCTTCTAACATAGAAATTCTAGCATTAATATAATCAATAGGAGTAAACTCTTAATTTAATTAAATATTAACTAAACTCTAATTTATACAATTAAAATAATTAAAAGTCCTTAAATTCAAAAATATAGATAACTAACCTTGAAATGTTAGGAGAGGTGATTTCATTTTGGGTGGCGGAGGATGACCAGTGTGCTATGATTGCCGACGGAGTAGTGGTGGAGGAGGAGGCAGTGGTGGCGGAGGAAGCAGTGGGTGCCGGCGGAACAGTGGCAGGGGAGGGGAGGGAGACTTCTAGGTACTTTATTTTTGGGTGAGGAGGGAGATAAGAGTTGATTTTGGATGGGGATTTGGGGGATCGCGACTGTAGGGAGGAGAAGAAGAGAGATGGAAGAGAGATAGACAAAAGAGGGAAAGGGGAAGAACCCGTCTGTGGCGGATCTAAATTAAAAATTTCTAACCGAAAATTCGGTCGGTAAGTTAAAATGGCCTTTGACCGTTTGACCACGACCATTCCGATCGAAATCAGTTGGTAATTTAATTTTAAATTAAAAAAAGAAATTATATAATTTAAAAACCGACCGAATTCGGTCGGTTTTAGCCAAGATACAAATTAATTATAGGTACTATATAATATATATAATTAATTGTGTATGTATATATATGTATATATTCATACATACATATATATTAAAACGATTGGAAAGTTGCTACAACTTAAGTTTTAATATAGCACTACATCTTATAGCACTATACATTTTGTTTTTAAATGTGTTATAGCATGTTGGATGTCGTTACTGCGCCAATTGATCCACTAATGAAGTATCCGAGGAAAGTACTAATAAGGTAATCGAGAATAAAATATTCAAGACTGTGTCGATTGTATACATCTTGGAGCATCTAGTCACTCATTATACCGAAGCATCTAGTCACTTAAACTCCAAGATTTATTATCTTATTTAGTCACCGATCAAGCATTCGAGTATGAACAATTGAGAATAAATCATCAACGCTAGTCATATGTATGTAAGTGTAAATTATCATAAATGAAATAAATCATATACTCTATTAGAATCTATTACACGTATACGAATATGAAGTGTAATTTATACCAAAGCACACGGATGATAAATATTATATATATAATTGATCGAGTTTAATTGATATAGTCGTTGTATCCAACATGCTATGATATATATATATATATATAGAGAGAGAGAGATTNAAAAATAATTGAGCCTGGGAGGGAAAAATTAAATCAAAATTTCCAACCGAATTCGGTCAGTATACTTGAATTTTTTTAATTAAACTTTTTTTTGATAGATAATATTTATGTGACGAGGTCTTGGTCAAATATTGACCAATAAATAACCTAGTAGCTTAAAGTTGAACCATATCAGTGTTAATCATAAAATACCGTAGTAATCATATTGATGAAACATACAATTACAAATTATATATTGGGTGAGAGTTACATATCAGAAAAATCAAACAAACCGAGTAAACAAAATAAAAGGCACGTATTCCACTTAGTAATAATATTATGGGACCAAATAAACATGCAAAATCATACAACGAAACAGAAAGGCAGATTTCAAACTCCTCGTAATTAAAGACTTGGAACTGAGGAGGAGGCAAACTCAAGGAGTTCCTCATCGCATTCAAATGCAGACATATGTTGTTTCTGCAACATCACTCGCGCCTCCACGCCTCGCCCAGATACACTCTTTCAGGTTTTCCCCATCCAAAATCTACATTGTAGAATGGGAATTTGCAAAGGTTGCTGCAAAAATACATAGTAGTAGTAGTACAATTTTCATCTTTTTCTTCAAATGGTAATTTTCCTTTTTTCATGGAATCTACTATTTCTAAGACCAGTTCATTTTCATCAACTTGGTCTTTCTTGTACGCTACCTCAACTTCCTTCCTTAGATTATGAACCAATCTTGGCAACTCAATATCTTGCATAGCTGCTGTGGAGAACACGGATAAGAGATTTCCAATTGCACTTCGTGGTAGACGAGGTTTGATNCTCGCCCAGATACACTCTTTCAGGTTTTCCCCATCCAAAATCTACATTGTAGAATGGGAATTTGCAAAGGTTGCTGCAAAAATACATAGTAGTAGTAGTACAATTTTCATCTTTTTCTTCAAATGGTAATTTTCCTTTTTTCATGGAATCTACTATTTCTAAAACCAGTTCATTTTCATCAACTTGGTCTTTCTTGTACGCTACCTCAACTTCCTTCCTTAGATTATGAACCAATCTTGGCAACTCAATATCTTGCGTAGCTGCTGTGGAGAACACGGATAAGAGATTTCCAATTGCACGTCGTGGTAGACGAGGTTTGATCATTGTACGTACATTTAAGTAGTGAACCAACTTTGATGGTTGTATATTTGCAGAACATGATGCTGCTGCCTTTGTTGCAGATTTGTAAATAAGTGCACTGACAACTTCAGCCCGTGTTAGGTTCTCTACTCCTGATTCAACTGCTATCTTCAATCCCAAAAAATGTCAGTCATTTTTTGCTAGATAAATTTATTTAAATAGGTGACACATTTAAGAGTGCCTTTAACAAATACATTCAAATCTTTCAATAACAATATCGTCATATAACAACCATTCACTATAAAAGACAAGTTTATTTTGGAACCAATATTCATGCTATGTTATAATATATGTTTTTTATAACAACACTTCATTATAACAATCAAAAAAATCTGGAACAAACAGATTGTTATAAAGAGGTTTGACTGTACTCTAATAGTCGAGACTACTCCTAAACTTGTAACAATTAACTTAAAATTCTAATTTACTTTTAATGATAAATTTTATATTCTTAAACTTCGTGCAAAGGTCAAACTATGCCACATAAACGAGAACAGAGGTACCCCGAATATCTTTGTAAAAGTAATGTGCACAAATTTTAAAAGACATATAAAAATAGCTAGTGAACTAGTGGTAATATTACCTTAGCACGAAGAGCATCCAATTTGGCGATTGGAAAAATGAGTCTTTTCTGTACGCACTCACTAACATTAGACATAATTTGTGGAGCAATAAGAGGACCATTTAGTGAAGAGAAAATAGAATCTCCTACAAATCTAGGAGAAGGAACTACAAATCTACGATCACGAGTGACATTAGCCCAATGATTAAGAAAATTAATCACAGAGCAACCATCGCCAATCTTATGCGATAAACATGCACTAATGGCTATTCCCCCACAATCAAACTTACTTAATTGAACCACAAGTAAATTACCACCTTCATAATTATTCTTCCAAGGCAAGTCCTTTGGAAAAACTATACTCTCTGCATCAGTTGCATGAGGATGGTTAAGGATTTCAGACATAGGACAATTTATTTTAACACTCAAGAACTCAGCTCCCATGTCATTACACTCAACAGTAGCATTGTCTCTCAATATTCCTGCGTAAAGATAGTAAGAGACTAGAGTTTGTGACAGAGATGTCTGCAACAAATCAGCTATATGGGAAAGTTGAGAATTGTTTGACTCTTCTCTTTGCGGTTTAGGGTAAAAAAAGGCCACAGGAATGTACATATTACTGAGGGATTGATCGACGAAAGATAGCTTGTGAAGTCTAAGTGTAGAAGGGGTGAGAGTAGAAGGTTTGACGAAGGATTTGTCACAAATGGAAACAAGTGATGATAATAATGCCGAAGCGGCCATGATATGGTTAATGAACAAATAACACTACTTCAATTCCCTAGCTTTATGCGATACTCCTATATATCAATTAATTGCCTAAACGGACACATATATATACACACAATTGGAAATTAGTATGACACTATGACTATATACGCGCACACAAGGAAATACTAAGTATCAGTGGCGAAACGAGAAAATTCAATAAGAGTATTCAAATTTTGATCATCCTTTGCTAGTGGGCTATGCAAGGGTGTTCAAAGTTTATTTTTAATCAATATCAAATAATATTTTACCTTATACGTAGTATAAACTTTCGGCGAAGAGTGTTGAGTTGACCACCTTTGGGCCAACATAGCTTCGCCCCTGCTAAGTATGGCCAGTTAGGTATATGTACACTTACCTAGGAAAAAATAAAAGTAGAAATTGATATTTATAGGTTTATCTACGACGATTCCTTCGGTCTTAATTTATGTTATGTTATTTCTTTTTATGTCTAAAAATGACATATTTTTATATTTATAATTATTGTAACATTAAATTTTATTTTATTCTTAATTAGATAATTTATAGTCGTACAATTTATGACTTGTTTTAAATTACAAACCAAGAGTTGTGATCAATGCAAGAACAGATTGTATGGTTGAGGAAGCGATGACGGTAGTGATCTTTTCATAAATGGATGGATACAGAGACGATCCATATATACGTCTTATTTTTACTGTTATATCGAGAGCTACTTTATGTATTGTTTGGCTTAAAAAGGGATGATGGATTTCTTGTTGGAGCCCAATAATGGAAATGTGTGGAGGATCATTTCGTGCGTGGAGCCGACGGCTATAAGCGACTATTTTATTGCTTGTTAAATAAATGTCACAGTATTACTATAGTAAATATTTTACAAAAAATGTGAAATTGAAAAAATATTTACCACTTGATTAACCAAAGGAAAATAAGATGCTACTCTCGAACCACTATATTATAATAATAATAATAATAATAATAATAATAATAATGCTAGTAGTAATGGCAATGATAATAATCTATATACTATATTAAAAGCACGAAATCCTTAGCGAAATGTCGTTCACTTTTTTACCTTTTAAAAATAGATCTTACATCTGATATAATAGTCATTTATAATAATTATTTTCTAATATTTAAAAATTCAAAATTAACTAAAATTTACGTGTTACATCATTCCTTATTTGTATCATGTAGGAGTCCTAATATTTCAACTAATCAAGAATCACATCTTCAAAGTATGTTGCCTTCGTTATACGACTTCCGCAATTGGAGATTTCCTTGAACATATATATTTTTTTTCTTTTTTCATCAAGTCTATTTATTTGCAGTGTATTTATGTCAGTTTATCCTTCATTCCCTTGCCTTTTATTTGAGTTTTTTTTGGTCTAAAATTAATATTAGTTGCACATAATTTTGGCATCATATCTGTCAATGGTTCGGTTCAGCCGGTTATTTTATAAAATTTGTACCATACCAAATTTTCGGTTATTCTATTATGTATAACCAAAATTAAACTTTTCGAAATCGTCCCAATCATGCCGGTTTCTCTTCAGTATCGGTACGGTTCGGTTAATTTTCGGTATTTTTTAAAATATAATATAAAATTCACCAGTAGAAGTAGAATGCAATAACATATGTTCTTTTATATGATTTAGCCAAACTCTCTAGACATTTTTACTGTTTAAAGGGTGGTGAATTAAAAAAATGAAAGATGGCTAAGTAAATCATTCCTTTTTTGAATTAGATAGGAAATTTTAAAATTTAATAATTTAAATTTTAATTAAAATTTANAATTTTTAAACTTAGATACAAAAACTAATGATGGGGCAACTAAGTAAATTTCTAGATAAATTTGGTTGAGATCCTTTTGTTTTGGATGAGTTTCGTGGGTTGTATTTGGGCTACTTCATGGGTCAGAATGAGCTATAAAAAATAATAGATTATCTTGGGTTCAGCCCAAATAAACTCATGAGCTAAAATATTTGTAGCCCAACCCATTAATCTCTTGGGCGGTTGGATGAGTTTGGGCTCAAAATGCCATCCCTAATCATAACCTACTTTTCGAGTATATTGGTAAAACTCATACTAAGTAAATAGAAGTTTGCATTAAATGAGGGCATGTACGCCACAACACACCCATATATTTATAACAAAATATAGTTTTGATATTATGCAGGTTATTTTTATTAGGAACAGTATCTATGCTGAAATAAAGTACAAGTGAAATTATTTTTCATAGAGAATTACAAATTAAAGGTTGTGAATTGTAATTTTTGTCTACAATTTCTCATGTACAGTTATCAGTTCAAATTAACTTATTCAAGAATTTCGCATAAGGTTTTTGGATGATTGTATTCTATAAGAAAAAGATTAGTTATGATCGCATAAGGTACACGCGCAACGAGCGTATACTGAGACTAGTAATAATACTAATACGAATGATTTTTTATAGCTTACCGTAAGTGATGGCCGGAGCTGCGAGATTACTATATTCATAAATCATACTTAATTCATAAGCAAGGGATTCGAGAGATGAAAATGATTTTAAGGATTGTAAGACGTTGGTCGAGTAGGAATTAGAGCGCCCAAGCACTAAAGTCCGTACACAACTCATTCTTTTGCTACCTGTTAAGCAGTGCAAATGTAAATCATATCTTCTTCGTTACATAAGAATGAATAGATCTTTTGTGTTACATGAGAAAGAATGGTTCTTATTAAGTGCAATGGATAGATTTTCGGTACATTTATAAGGTACACAGTTAGTGTGCTTATCAAATTCTTGACGGCATTTTGACGTTACTTTAAATATAAAATGTACATTGTTGATTTCTGATGTAATGCTGTAATTTCATATATTTTGACGTTATTTATCCTACTTGCTTGTTGTTTGGATGCTAATTTGTGCGACAATTGAGCTTAATAGAGTTTATCTTACGTGTAGGAATGCTTGGACATGAAGTAGAGAAAAGTTGCACGAAATGGTACCTCAAAGCTATAAAATGGAGCAATAAAAGAAGACGTGCAAGGCAATGAAAAGTCACAGCCATAGACAGTGCAAGGCTTTGTCCATGGCATTGTCATTGGCATCTCTGATAGTGCCTCGTGGGGTAGTGTTGGTGCCTCTGATGGTGCCTTGCGGAGTAATGTTGGTGCCTCTGACAATGCCCCGCGCCATCGATGCTCATCCAAGCCATTTTTATTTTCTCATTATGTTTGGACGTGTAGATCTCGGCCTCACCATATAAATACCTCTTAAAGTTAGTTTTTGAAGGGTTAGACATCATTAGAGAGGCAGGAGGCTACGAAACACTCTCGAACTGGAATCACAAGAGTTTTGTCTCTCCGCTTTTCTTTTAATTTGTAGTTGAATGCTTTTGGATATTATTATGATTATTTACACAATTATGAGTAGCTAAACCAGTCATCTAGGGTTGATGGAACCAATTGTTAGATGAAGTTTCTTGATTGCGTATTGATATAATTGAATCGTTTTTACTCTCTAATTGTTCAACTAAGTATTTTCTTGTGGTTAATTAAAGGGGCCTTGATTAATCATGTCTAGTTATTTTATGCTGCTTGAGAAAGAACACTTGATTAGATTGTTGTTGATGAACTACGACACTTTCGAATAAGTTAAGAGATTAATTACTTGGATTTAAAAGCGAGATTAGAGATAATAAAGTGTCAAGACCCAAAATTTGCGTGTCGTGATGTCGCCTATCTCAATATTAGGCAAGCCGACAACCTCAATAAGCCACAATTTCTTTTAAGTTTGAAAATATAATATTTAAATTTAATAGGAAAACTCCACTCATACTGATATAAATACACTCCCAAAACCTGGTGTCACTGAGAATCTAAATGAAAATATAGTCTGACTGATAAAATACTATCTGAAAATATATAGAATAGTACAAATAACTGAAAGAAAAGAGAGACAAGGTCTGCGGACGCCAAGCAGGTACCTCGATAGTCTCCAACAGATAAAACTCTGAAATCTAGCAGACGCCGTATCCGGAGGTACTTGGATCTGCACACGAAGTACAGAGTGTAGTATGAGTACAACTGACTCCATATACTCAATAAGTAACAAGACTAACCTTTGGGCTGAAAGTAGTGACGAGCTCCACAGGTACAGTCCAATATAGAAATAACAGTACAGAAATGTAGGCATGCTTTCAAGTTCAACAGTTAAACTCAGTACAAATAAAATAGATCAATTCTCAATGATATAAGGACTATGAAATCTCTATATCTACATGCCAATGTACATGTTGTATGTGATGCGCCTCAGTGGAAACCTCGCGTACTCACAATCTCAAAATATTCAATAACTCAGTACTGTATATGGACACTCCATCCCAGGGAAGATCCATCCCATACACACACACACACACACACACACACACACACACACACACACACACACAAAAACTGACAATCAGTCACTCAATTCTGTATAAGGCCAATCCAGCCCAGGGGAAGATCCATCCCCAGATATAAATAATTCGGACAAGATCCATGTCCAGGGAAGATCCATCCATCATATGAGTAAATAAATAAGGCAACTACGTGCCTTGGGAAGTCCATCCCAAATATAAACATCAATGGCGCTCACTGTGGGGAGTGCAGACTCCGGAGGGGCTCCTTCAACCCAAGTGCTATATAAAGCCAGTATGACCTATTTTGGTGTGCAGTATGATCCCATAATAATAAAGCCTATAAGGCATGTTGTGGCGTGCAGTCCCGATCCATATAATAATAAATATAAAGTCAATTTGGCCTGCTGCGGTATGCAACTCGATCCCATAAATATCCTCACAAATGGAGGAACATGACTAGGAATGGAATTTATATTTTAAAATAATTAATTCAATAGCAACGCGGCCCTGTGGATCCCATAATATCGGCACGTAGCTAAACATGATCTTTAATGCGAGATTCAACTCAATTTCTCTAACACGTCGGGAACATGCGAATAATGACATGATTCTTTGATGAAATCAATTTTGGAGAACAACCTCGCTCCCCAAAGTTGGTCAAATAAATCATCAATACGTA